AGTGGTAGAAAGAAAAATAGGAAGAAGAATGTGAAGGAGAAACACTGTGTGATCGAGAATAACGAAAGTTACAGGAACTTTCGTATTTTGTAAATATATTCCATAAGTAAACAGGGGAGAGGTAGATGGTTCGTCAAGAGAAATATTTGTTTTTTTTTTTACGCATATACGTAGGTATGATGAATTAAACAATTATTATAGCAAGGCGTTCATAAAACTTCAATGAAACGTATGAGAAAAACACGTTTTCGCAAAAATAGTTTCAATTTACATTATAAATTCACATAGAAAGGAAATTATGTCAATTTTTTCTTTTCATTTTACTTGTGGGTTTATAACATACATGTGTAATGGTTTTCCATTCATATTTCTGGAGTTTAATTTATTTTTAATGATCATCACATGTCACTTTCTACTTTAAAAATAAAATTATAAATACTATATTATTTTCATTAATAATTTACATGAAAAAAAAAATGAGAATCAAAATTTTAAAAAATTATTGTATTTATAATTTTTAATTATAATTTTCTGTCTATTTGTGTATTTTTAAGCACAATTTACAATAATTTTCGAATGTAATACATAAAGTAAACTGAATAATATATGAAACATAAGTATTTGTGTAGCAAATAAATTAAACATTTTTATTTGAAATCAATTCACGTATTAATGTATATTACATAAAATTACATAAAAAAATTAATTGATTTTATATGAAAATATTGAAATGACATTTAATGACAGAATGTGATATGACATTTTTTTGTATTGTCTAAAAATAAAGTATTATCATTTAAACTGTCTGCAAAATTTTTTTACAAATCAAGCAATAAGACTCAAGAGCATAAAATGGAAAGACGCATTCATCTTAATAAAAATTAATAATAGCCGATTGTATTTGATTTTTATAAAATATTTTCAAAATTATACTTATGCCATTATTACGGAACCACTGCACTCACAAATGAATTTCGTTGACGAAAGTACGATATAGTTATAATGTAATTAATCTCCATTTAACGAAAGTAATATTGATGAGTTTCTATAATATATCATTTATTAAAACATCAAATATTTATTTACTATTATTATTCTTGATAAAATTTATATATATAAATAAAATTGTAGTATCAATTTTAGCTTGTCGAGTACTGTCTTGATAAGATAATATTCATTACTGTACAACACTCCAGATTATTATATAAAATATATGAAAATAGTTTACATTCCTCAGTTAAATGTAAAATAGTCCTATAATCATTATTTAATTGTTGTTCGTAACTCAAAAATTCTTCACCTATCAACTATATTAACATCATTTCTCCTACTTCTATAATTGACGATTATAATTTTATAGTTGAATATCAATTAACAAAATGTTTTCTCATAAATTGATATCTCATCCAACAATTTATATGAATTAAAATAATTGAACTCAATTATATATGCACTCATTATGATCGTCAATCGTTTATAAAATAATTCCTAATAATATTTGGCTATATTAATCATTAAACTTTGTATTGTTGTTTATTTTATTTTATTTTCTAAAATACTAAAAATTATTATGATCAATTTTTATTATCGAGCATTATTACATCAATAAGTTATATTATCAATTATCAGTATGTATTATCAATTAATATTATGATAATTTTTATGAGAGATGTACTTCCTGTAAGGTATTAAAAGTATTATAATGTATAAATAATTATTTCCATAACTAAGAAATTTAAAAATTTTATATTTTATTACTTTCCATTCAGAAATAGTAAATACTATTTTAAAATATTTTGAATTTTCCATAATAATTAAAAAAATTTCACTATACTTGTTGATTTAACTAATAAAATTTTAATGCACCATTAATCTTTAACTATGAAATATTATATACAGATAAGTATGTTTTTACTATTTTTACAAAGAATAATGTTTACTGATAGGAAAAATCCTCTGCCAACTTCTTTCTAAGCAATGAGACATTCAAGGGATATGCGCACGAGCTTTAAAAATTGCTTGGTACAATAAACTCACATATTCTTTCATAGTCTAAATAATTAAAATTTGTATATGTCAAGTTTTTGAGAAGATAAAGAATGAAATAATTATATGAAAATTTTACACAGCCGTTTTATTTCATAACTTACATTACGCATTTGAAAATTACAATTGAATGAAAATTATTTTATATAATCAATTTTTAATGTACGATAGTAAAAAGTATACATTAATAGGAGAAAATATAAATATTAACATTTTTCTAATTTTTCTAATACTTAAGAATAAGGATAAAAATATTTCATTAAAATTAAATTAATTTTTTCGAATATATTATTACAAAATAATCAGATTTTTGAGATTAACAATTTTATTGTTCATTGAAAGCAAAAATCTAAATAATTCCATGAAACCGGAAATCCAACTGAAAATCTTATTTGTAAAAAGTATTTTGTTGATGTAATACACAAATAATAATCTTTTAACCGATTACATTTAATGTGAAATTAATAAAATTAAAATCCAATTAAAATTCATTTTAATTCAATTCAAGTAAAGCTGAAGATTAAATTTACCAATACTTATTGTTTATCTCTATATAATACTTCAATGCTGAATAATTCTTTTAAATAATTAAAAATTTTAAATAAGTGAAATTGAAAATGTTGGAGATATTTATTTGTTCAAATATACTAACTGCCGCACAGATGGCATAATATGAGAATGAAAATCAAGATAAATTTTATAATGCCAGTTGCATAAAAAAAAAATCGGTTATCAAGAAACTTAATTTTTTGTTGAATAAATTTTTTTAATTAATCACTTCTAGGTTTATACATTCCATTTTTTTTTTTTAATAATAAAATAGCTTGATTCGTTACATCGACACAATGTATTTAAAACTTTAGTCAAAGCTTCGTTTGGATAATGATTCAAAGGGTCTAATAAAGAATACTTTTCAGGTCATTTCAAAATCCTCTTTCAAATGATTAAATTAAAATAATTGGATTTATATTTAATATGCAAATCAATTGTAGCATATAGTTTATACACAAGAAATTAACAATCAAATAAAATTACTTTAGAAATATGTATGGTAAATCTATTTTCAATTTAATGAACTATGTTCAAGAAAGCCAATATTATAAAAATGTTATTTTATATAATTATTTAGTTCATGTTACATATATATAAAATATAAAATATACTTTTCGTTACTTTACAATTGACTATTTCATTTATTTATACTACGTTTTAGTAAAGAATATAGAAAATTAGTTTTATAACTATTCAATCTAATTGGTTAAACAATTTTTTCTCATTTTTGAAAAACACAATGTGACGACTAATTAATTATAACATATAGTAAGGAAATATATTACATATTTTGTAATATATTTCAAAAAGAAATGAATGTAAATAAATTTAACAGTAGAGAAAGTATACTCGTTATAATAGGTTATTGAAAAGTAACGAAAAGATTAGAATTCTGCATTAATCTACCAGCGATATTTGTATAAAAATTAAAAACAATAGTTTCTCGTACGTCATAAGTATTAATAACTAAAAGTAATGATTTTAAAGAAGGATCGTTATCCTCAGAAATAGTCTTAAGTGTCAACCTTTAACCTTTAGTGCAGGCAAAAACGACACAA